GAATACATTCATTTTCTGAACACAGAACAGCATAAAAAAATGTAAAAACTGCTGGTATATTTTTAAGGGTTTTAAAACACGAATTATAGGGGTTTAAAACAACGTCAGTGAGCACGAACAGCCAATGAGCTGCTCCACTCGCCAACCAATCAGCACTCGGTATCAGTAATGCTAACCTTCACCCAATGACATAAAAAAATGATATCTTTATTGTAGTGTAACTTATTAGACTTTTACTTAAAATGTAATGTTTTAGTAGTTCAGTACCATAATGTAGTGTAATGTTAGAAAATAATGTTAAAATCACAGTTTGAAACTTTTCTCTTTCTGTCACCACAAATACTGCATTTTGGCCTTACAAGAACCGCTAGAGGGCGCTCCACAACATTAACGAACGTTTCGAGTTGAAAATCTAAAAAAGGAAAGTCGTCAAAAACCATTTTGAAGGCCACCCGCAGATGGCGCAGTTCTGCACTGTCCCTCCTCATCGCCGGCAGATGGCGCAGTTCTGCACTGTCCCTCCTCATCGCCAGCAGACGGCGCAGTTCTGCGCGGTGCCTCCTCATCGCCAGCAGACGGCGCAGTTCTGCACTGTCCCTCCTCATCGCCAGCGGACGGCGCACTTCTGCACTGTGCCTCCTCATCGCCAGCAGACGGCGCAGTTCTGCACTGTCCCTCCTCATCGCCAGCAGATGGCGCAGTTCTGCACTGTCCCTCCTCATCACCAGCAGCAGGTGAAGTTCATTACTAATTAAAGGCCTCTAGATTCAAGAGACGCCGCTGAGTTTAAACCGTAAGATCTCCTTCAGCTGAAGAGAACTCAGCTTAGCTTACACAGCCCTCAGGTGGAGCTCTGACTGTGGATCAGTTCTAGTTTGGAAGACTGAACTCCTCTTTATCTGGAACGCCAACACGAGAACCACAGCACTAAAACAAGATATTTGTGGTTAACTAAACTCCCCAGAGAGAGAAAAGTGGACGAGTGAATGCTCCCGCTGCAGATCAGGAGCTCATCTCTGATTTCTCTGTTTTCTCTTTCTGAGCAAAGTGCACTGTGGGGATCTCGCGGTCTCTCTCCAACAGTCTTAAACTATCGCTCAGGTGAGGAGAAAGTCACTGTGGTCACTGTTACAGAGCACGAAGAGCACCAGGACGGAAACTAGAACGGCACCGTTGATATTTTACAATTAGCACCTTTGTGAAGTGTTTACGAAGTGCCGAAAGCTGTCTAGGAAGCTAACGCTGATCATTAGCATGTGTGCTAGCAGCTAGAGAGTGTCTTTGTTGCTATTCTCCTCATTAACGTCGAAAACATCGACAGTTAAGCCCTCCTGAGGTTCTAAGCGGATCTGGTCCTGCTGAAGACTCGCTGTTTCTGGTTTGTTCTCGTACCTTTACACTTTCCCACCGTTTTCCAAAATAACAGCACTGTTTCCGGTCATAATAATGTCAGTTTAGCCTACCTGACTTTGGAGCCATTCTTCTTTCATCCATTTGGAGTCGCTGTGCTTCTAACAGGACACCTCATCGGCTGATCTGTTAACGTTTCATTGGCCGACCGGTCCGTTATTGATGTGACGTCGACGACTATGTTCAGACCCTTTGGGATCTGGGGTCCGAACAGTTCTCCGCGCAGCTGGATCCCGAACTTCCCGACGGGCCGACGCCAGGCGGTACGGATGGGCGACGTCACCTCCTCCTCGCTGACCCTTAACACCGGAGCTCCTCAGGGCTGGGTGCTCAGCCCACGACTGCTCAGCCAGACACAGCTCCAATGCCATCATCGCATTTGCAGATGACGCCACGATTGTGGGCCAACGAGGAGGCCTACAGAGAGGAAGTCTCTCTTGCACTTGCACTGGTGCCGGAAGCAAGAGAAAGCGCACACCCCCGTCACCGTCAACGGAGCTGACGTGGACCGAACGCACCACACGGGTGGCGAAGAAGGCGCAACAGCGCCTCTTGGCATGCATCCCCGCATCCTCGGAACATTCTACGCATGTACTGTGGAGGGCATTCTAACAGGCTCCATCACCTCCTGGTACGGGAACTGCACCGCCATCGAGCGGAAAGCTCTGCGGAGGGTGGTGCGGACAGCCCGGCGCATCACCGGGGTCGAGCTCCCAAACCTCCTGAATTTATGCACCGGCCGCTGCCCGAGGAAGACCAGGAGGATTCCGAAGGACTCCACCCACCCGAGCCACTGTCTGTTCTCACAGCTGCCAAGCAGGAGGAGGCGCAGAAGCGTAAAGTCCAGAACCGTCCGGTTCCGAGCCGGTTTCTGGCTGCCGAACGGCCAGTGGCGCCGGCGTATCGGCCTATAGGCCTGTCGCCGCACCTCGGAGTCATCGTCGCGATGATCTCCATGGACAATCCACACCTCATCCACACACGGCTTTTCTATGCCGTGTTCCGTACTTGTGTTTACCTAGGCTCGTTTTTCTGAAATAAAACTTGTGGTTTGACTGGTTTCCAACAGAGAGCACACGTCTAGATCCCGTTAGAAAACCATGGGATGCATTTGCAATCAGCCACCTGTTAAAGCATTAGGAATACCTCGGTTCAGCACAGACTACCAGCACACATTTCTCAAATTACGTTCTTCATGGGCTTTGAGTCATTAGAAGATGCAATTTTTGTGTGTGTCTTGGAATCTTCAAGACAAACCCCCCAAAAAAAGGCTGCTGTGTGTGAAACTTGGTGGCTTAGTGGGAAAAGCCTTGGCCTCAGATGTGGGAGGTTGTGGGTTCAAGCCTGGAAAAAGAAGGTGGGGAGAGAGAGAGAGAGAGAGAGAGAGAGAGAGAG